ACTACAAGGCTGAACTTGATCTACTTGCACGTACCGGTCCCTATCCCCAAAATATACGCTCTTGCACAGGTGGCTCCCACGTACGGGCCTATGAAAGTTCTTGGAGGGTAAACTGCTAAGTCGAGAACCAGAAAAGTTAGGAAGCTGGAAATTTAAGCGATGTCCGCCGTCCACGTAGAACTCAGTAACTTCAAACCCAGCCCCTAGGTGTGCGTGGTCCTCACGTACGTGCTGGTGAGGATTTTTGGTGGGTAGGTTGCTGACCCGGGACCAGAAAAATTAAAAAGCTGAAATTTCAAGAGGATATTTTTTGACAGTTGTGGTGGCCAGTCTTAATTCTTTTAGCTAGAAGCATGTGCCGGAAAAACAATGCCGTTAGCGATAAAAATCTGCAGGGAAGAAACGCGACTTCGCACCGGCTGTTGGTACACTGACCAGTTATTTGCATCTATGTAATGCAAAAACGCATATTGTCGAGGGATTGTCTGTGTGTACGTATGCTCCGATTTTTCATCTCGAGACCTATAAAAGCGAAGGGCTAAAAATTTTGGAAACTTAATGTGCATGCGCATACGAACACCAGTTCTCCAAATTGGTGCTTTTACACACGTAGTTCCCACTTATGGGCCTATCAGATTTTCGGCTGGTAAGCCGCTAACTCGGGAAGCAGAAAAGTTAGAATGCTGAAAATTTAAGGCAGTGTTTTCAGACAGCCCTGGTAGCCAGTCACAAGTCAGATTTGCCGGAAAAAAACAGTGTCGTTAGCGACAAAAACTGCGCGAACCTATGCAAAAAACGCATATTCGCACGGGCAGTCGGTGCGCTGGCCACTTGTGATGCGTTTTGTGCTATGCAACAGCTGCACGAAACGCATACTATCGCGGGGTTGTCTGTGTGTGTTTGTATGTGTGTGCGTCGGCAGCAACTTGCCCGCAACTTTCATCTTCGGAACCCCAAAAGCTAGGAAGCTGAAAATTTAGGGTCATGTTCTCTGCCCACGTGTGACGCCGCAGGCTTAAATTCAGCCTTCCCGTACCCGCGGGTAACACGTACGGTCCCGTAAAATTTTTGGCAGGGGAACTATTATCTCGGGAACTGCGGAATCTGGAAGGCTGAATTTTTAGGGTAATGATCCCCTGCCCACGTACGACCTTGAAAATTCAAATTCAGCGCCATTCCGCGCGCCCAGTTACCATCCATGGCCACGTGAAGGTTTCGGCGAGGAAAATTATTATTTCGGAGACCACGAAAATTGAAAGTCTGAAATTTTTGGGCGATGTCTCCTACCAACGTACGACCCACGCAAATTTGGATTCAACCTTCACGCACCCCTGGGTACCAAGTACGGCCCGGTGAAAGCTGGCAAGAAAATTGTCTCGTGAACTGTAAAAGCTAAGGAGCTGAAATTTTAGCGTTGCATCTCCTCTCCACGTACAACTCTGCAAATTTCCAACGTCCCCGT